CTGAACTGCAGATAACAGTCAGCTGAAGTGGCCTGCAATACTGCACCCTGACCACTGCGCCACCTTGGCCCTCGGTATAGTGGAGGCAAGCTCAAAGGAGGTCTGCAAAGCTGCTTGCGAGAAAGTCACCTCACCCCTCCTCACAAGGAGCACCTGGTGTGGGTTGACTTAAGCATAAGCTGGAGGAACCATTGTTTGCTTTGGCATACATTCCCCTCGCTTTGGGAAAAACTCAGCCTTGATTCTTATTTCTCCCTGTGCCTTGCCTTGTGTAGGTACAAATAAGACGACTAAAAAGGGCTCCTAAGAGACAACAGTATACTTGAAATGAGCTTGCTACCAACAAATGTCCACTAGTGGGTAATAAATGGAATAGATACAGCTTTTGTAAATTGCAATAGTGCTTATACACCGCTTCACGGTGCTTTACAGCCCTCTCTATAAGTTGTTTAGAGAGTCAACGTATTGCTCCCAACAATCTGGACCCTCATTTTATAGACCTTGAAAGGATGGAAGGCTAAGTCAACCTTGAGCCGTTCAAAATTGAACTCCTGGCTTGAGCAGTGAGTTAGCCTGCAGTACTGTGTTCTAACCACTGCGCCCCCATGGTTCTTCATAAAATAAAAATCAAGTTGCATTTAATTTGGAGAAATTATGTCAATTCTTTGTAAATGCACTGACAGGTTTTACTCAAAGTTATAAATCTCAAATATTTTTAGTACTTAATAGAAAGAGGATTACGCTTCTAAAAGGATAAACAATTATATTATCAATAAAGATAACCCATAAAACTAAAATCTTAGTCATTTTCAAGTGCTGAAACAGAATGAAGAATAATGGGGAAAATTTATTAAATAATGTGTAAACTGCCCAAAGTTGCTGGGAATTGGACATGGTATAAATAATAACAACAATAAGGCTTTATTTCTCCTGTATTCAGCATTATTGCCCATCAGACTTTAGAAGCTATGAAAATCATCCTTTCCAATAAGAAGTGAAAGTTTGAATTATGAGATCTTATGGAATACTCCTGCAGATGCAATTAATTCTCACTTAAAGAGGACTTTGGGCACAGAATGATTACAAGTATCTCTCTTTTTTGCTTTTCTTGTATCATTATTCTAATTCTACAAATAGTCCTTGACTTATGACCACAACTGAGCCAGGAACTTTGGATGTAAGTCATTGCAGTTCTTAAACAGATCGCTATATGACCAGACTCAATTTTACAATCTTTTTTTCTGACATTATAAAGTGAACCAGATGCTCAATAAGCAAATTCAGCATACCCAGTGTGTTTTTTGCTGTTTTCTGCCTGAAAATGACAAAGGATAGCAAATCATGACTGTGGAACACTGCAACTGGTCACAACGCGAACCAGTTGCCAAGCACCTAAAATGCAATCACATGACCATGGGATGGGTGGTGTGTGTGCAACAGATGTAACTTTGAAGATGGATCATAAGTAGCTTTTTTAAAAAAACCATTGTAACTTCAAACAGTGGTTAAGAGACCAGTCATAAAAGTGATCACTATTTGTACCTTTGTATGGTTGATCTTTTAACAATATCCATGCTGTTAATTTGTATATGCATGCTGTCAATTCTTTGAGGAAAGCAAGATCAAGAAACAGGGACAGCGGGGATTCTCAGACTGCTGTTTATTATAGCAAGATAGAATCTTGAAAGCCTCTCCGAGGTTCTGTCTGCCTTATCTTGTACCAAACAAAATCAAAATGGGGTTACTTTGAAATTTATTTCTTATGCTTTCATCTTCTCAGGACTGAATAATCTTTTCTGAAAGTCACCCTTAACAGTTCACTCATCACTTTCCCATTCACAAGGCCAGAGCTCCTGCAGGTTACATATATTTCCTGAGTCTAAAAACAGCAACTTATCAAACAAATTCCAAAGGAAAATAACTAGGACTCCAGGTGCCCAGGGAAATAAAACTACGCTACCCCTACTTACAATGTGGGACACCCCACAATAGGAATGGCTCAGGGGCATGGTCTTTTTATGTCGTATTACAGAAAGTCCTCCTTTAGTGACTGCCTTGTTTAGAAATTGTATGCAGTTACAACTGTGATGAAAAAGTAACTTTATGACCAATCCTTGCATTTATTACAGGGATATAAAGCAAAGGACAATTGAATTAAGCTCATTAAGCACAGGTGGCATTTTCCTTAGCAATCGCTTCACTTAATAGCCAAGTTGTTAGTATCAATTGTGATCGCAAAATGAGGACTTAAGGCAAAAGCTTTTAAACTAGGAAAATATTTTAGCCAACATGCTGATAAGTTCAATGCTAAGATATGCAGAAGCAGCAATCCAACTCCATATCCTCCTCTTAACACGGTGACTTAGAACAGCATCAAATATTTTCTGACTGTACTGTGGAGTCAGGAGAATACATCACAATTACATTATTCATTTTAATACCCTTCTCTCCCTGGATACTAAATTGTGAAGGCATACAATATTAGTATATCATCATTTCAAAACAATTATGAACTAGATTTATGAAATACCTTTAGACAAATCCATTCGGGTAGTCCTAAACCTACGACCACATCTGGGACCAAATTCTGTCAAAGGTCATTGGTGGTTGTGAGCCATTTTACATAACCAGATCCGATTTTATGACCTTTTTTTGCATTGGTCATAAGAGCAAATCCGCCTTATCCAATGGCATTTTTTTTGGCCATTTTTTGCTTGAAACCCAGCAAAACCCGTCACAAATTGTGATCATGTGATTGAGGGACACTGCAACTGGTTGTAAACGTGAGCCAGTTGCCTTGCCGAATTGCGATCATGTGACCCTGCGAATAGCAACAAATTCAGGTCATAATTGAATTTTTTAGAAGCTGTTGTTAATTTGAACTGTTATTGGGTGAACTTTCATAAGTTACTATCTAAAACTTGAAAGTATCAATTTGATACTATTTGATATTTAAACATTGCAAACTACTTTCACATTAAAATTTGGTTCAACAATGCATCAGTCATCTGGATTCCCTGTTCCTAATTTATATTGTCCTTTGCACATTGAGCATAATCTTCCTGATGGTATAACTACTTTTCTCGCCCCTCTACAGCCTTCCCCACACCCTTAAAATCTGCTGTACAAGATTAAGGACTATCTAAACAAATTTGGCCCCTTGATAGTAGATAAGAAAATTTTGCTGCACAGCTTCTGCTTATATTTTCAGTGGTTCCCAAACTTGGCAACTTTAAGACTTGTGGACTTCAACTCCCAGAATTCTCCAGCCAGCAGAGCTGGCTGGAGAATTCTGGGAGTTGAAGTCCACAAGTCTTAAAGTTGTCAAGTTTGGGAACCACTGTACTAAAAGCTGTCATTGCTAGAAGTCCTGCATAGAGTTTTAAAAGGAAAAAATTTTTTTTAGCTCTGTTAAAGAAATATTGGAGCCCTGAGACACAGTTTGGTCTAGTAGTTAAACTGTGTGACCATGAGTTCTAGTCCCGTTTTAAGTCTGAAAGCTAGCTGGGTGACTTTGAGCCAATCAATGTCACTCTCCCTCTCAGCCAACAAACCTCAGAGGGTTGTTGTTGTGGGGAAAACAGAAGAATGTTGGTGCATTAGGAATGTTCATTGCCTCAAGTTATTTATAAAAATAATAAAGAAAAATAAAGTCAAGAATCAGTGTGGAACCCATGGTTCTTCAATGTTATCTTTGATTCCTAAAGTACGCACCAGAAAGTGTAAATATTATGAGAAGAATAGTCCAATAACATCCAAAGGGCTAAAAATGCATCATTCTTATTCTAGATCTTCTCTTTTAAAGAATAAATTACATCATCCAATTAAGCCTCACTTTATTTGTTAACCTAAAACTGAGAACTTGCCAAATAAGTTTAGGGAAATATTATAGATTTGCAGCTTAAATCACTTGTTATGCCTCAACAACACTGGATTTGATCCTGAATTAACAAGGGGCAGAGTTCAAAATGTTGAAAAAGGAAGCCAAACTTCAATGGAGATAAGATCAAAAATAAGTTGCTCACCGTATAGGTAATAGCTGCCACCATTCCAATAAGGGTCAAAGAACTTATGGAGAAAGAGAGGGCAGCTAAACCATCTGCAAGGAAAAAAATAGAATTGTTTTGCTAAAATGTATACAACCAAAGAGAATGAATTGAATGCAATCCAGTATCACAGGGAACAATGAAGTATCAACAATTGGCAGTGTAAATAATTGTTAAAGGCAGAATAGAATGTCAAATCTCAGTGGTCATTTACCAACTGCTCCCCCCCCCTCCAAATTGTGTTAAAAATTGATGTTGGCATTGATTTAAAACCTTAATTCAAGCAGTGAGGAACTGGTGACCATCCAGACCTTGCCGGACTACAATATCCATCATCCTTGATCTGTGGCTATACTAGGTAGTGCTGAGTTTGAATGCTACAAAATTGGGAAGGTCACTAATCCTCTATTACTCTGTTTGCTTAAGAAATAATGATGTCACTAATAATACTTTTGGCTTAAGCTCCTAAGAGCATTGGCCCACATTCAACACTTCTGTTAATCCTGGAGTGCGTTTCTACTTTTTCCAATAAGATTTCTACATTTTATCACTCAAATATATTCATTGTTTCTTCACTGGGAGTAGGCTGCTTGGAAGGGCTATAACTTCGAAGAAAAAATAGGGTACTTTAAATAAAACCTATAACCTGAGCGTATCAAGGAGATTAATTAGTCCAGCTCCGTGGTCATTGCATGGTATCTCTAAATACTCCAGCAACTGTCTAGCTTCTCCTTAATAATTCTAGTAGAACAGAATCTCCACTCCATGAGGTATTTTACTACAGATCAGCAGCTCTCTCGTTAGAATGTTATACATCCAGCAAGGAAATAAAACTGAGCATTCTTAAATTAGCTCCTTAAACAAAACTTTAGCGCTCTCCATATTATTTATATTTGTTCCTCAAAAGATTCAGAATCAACTACCATAAACACAATTTCTCTGCATATAGTAAGAGCCCCAATTCAATGGAATTTAGAGTAAGAAACTAAAATTATTCAACTGATTTACAAGAAAAAAAATCTTACGGCTACTTCCAAGTTCTTCAAACAAAAGTTTTATTTTCTCCCACTCTGTTGAGTTTTTCTTGGTAGGAATATCCAGTGGAACAAAAGCTCTGGAACAGGAATAAATGAAACATATAAAATCAATCTGTATGAGTGTTCTAATAATACTGGCGTGCTGTAGCAACAGCACTTAAGTAAAAAAAAAAAAAAAAAGCAACAGCTAACTTCTTTGCTTCGCTTCATATAAGTGCTATTCATTTTCTGATTTTACATATGTTTTTAAAAAATTAATGCTGTACCTCTAGCTTGGGATGAATCATGTGATTTTTTTGTGATAAATCAGAATTTCAAAGAAAGTAAAGAAAGCAAGAAAGGAAAGCAGGCAATTTAACTGCTCCAAGTGAAGCTTAACTCCTACAGATTTGATGGACCGACTTAGCAATAACACAGAAATGGCTTGCCACTGCCACCTTCTGGTATGCTTTTCAACTCTCTAGCCTATAGATCTCCATGTCTGGACTCTTCTCTTTCAAATGCTGATCAAAACTGCCCCTCCTTAGCTTAAGATCAACCAGGTACCATCATATGCTGAGACAACCGGCCAAATACAGAATGTGCAAGCGCTTTATTTCGGTACAGCATGCCTAACATGAACATATGCTAAATTCAAAAGAGAAATGAACTCACAACTTATTTGCTTCTAAAATAACTCTAAGCATGTCTTCATTCAACATTTACTAATGTGTACTGCATTTGTTTCCACAGAAAACTCCAAGGGTTACATAAGAATGCTAGCTATGGTGCCGCAATGGTTAGAATGCATTTAATGCAGGCTGCTTCTGCTGAATGCCGGCTGCCAGCAGTTTGAGCCTCACCAGGCTCAAGGTTGACTCAGACTTCAATCCTTCCCAGGTTGATAAAATGGGAACCCAGATTGTTGGGGGCAATATGCTGACTCTGAAAACCACTTAGAGAGGGCTGTAAAGCACTGTGAAGTGGTGTATGAGTTTAAATGCTATTGCTAAGTGTAATTGCTACTTCTCCATACCTTTTAAGTAACCCAAATATCAATAAATAATCAACAGTAAATAAGAGATTTTAACTGTGATGTTCCCATTATACTCACAATCAATTAGTGATTAATCAGTTTCACAAGACGAATCAAATGGGTTATTAGGGAAGAATCATAATTGTGTGCATGTTTATGGAGATTCTCAGTCATCCAGGCTAGTTAAAATATTTAAATTAATATATACTATCTAGTTCCATTTTCTTTTTATTTTGATGCTGTTTACACACACACACACACACACACACACACACACACACACACACGAGCTTTCTCCAGTAAGGATGAAAAATAAACCTGGAGTAGTATTGAGATTAAATAAATTTTAGCAAATAAAATCATACATTTTACTGCTACTTTTATTATAGTATATCTTGGAATTGTTGTCAAAAAATTGGCTTTGACCTACTTCCTCAAATGTCTGGAGACAACTATCTTTTAAAAATTAGAAAATGAAAAGTGATAAGCTACATTACAATGCAAACATTTTATGTCAAAGAAATAGGTATGCATTTGTACCACTTTGGAAAGAAGTATTGTAGCAGTGTCTTCAACATACACACAGCTTATAATAAAATTAGAGCTTCATTCTGCCACATTTTAATAAAAATAAAGTAATAAAAATCCAATAATATTGGACTCAAATTAATGTTTACAGCAAAAGGGCAATCTCTTCACACAGTAATATATTATTTCTTGAAAATATGCAGTAATGCTAACAATGCTATACCAATGATTGAGAAGCAGTGTATGCAGGCTTAAGGAGAAGTAAACCATTCTGAGAAGTAACAAACACTTTAAGAAAATGACAATAAACCATTTATCCATGCTTGTTTCTTTTAAGATTACATTTTAAATTAGTAAATTAGCCCTGTAAAAATGGTGAATTTCCATCTAGAAATAAAATTCCTGGTACTGTCATTTAAAAGAGATTTCCTTTAGGGGAAAGGAGGCAGAAGTAATGTTGAGAAAGAAAGGCTACAAATGGAAAACAATAGATTTCTACAACATTCCATTTGGAGGGAATTTAAATAAAAGTTTGATTTAGAAGAAATTTTGTTTAATGTATAATTGTAGGAGATGACCAGGCTGAGCCTGAAGGAGGGGTCAAACATGCCGTAAATTATCCCTTTGCGCCTGCAAAAGATCTCATCTAGCCCACCTTGAATGTCTCTCTTATCTCCCGCACATTTCCCTTAACGGTCAGTTGGCCAGATTGTACATAGCTTAAGTTTGCATAAATCTTTATACTCATTTGAACTGCCTGAATTTCCTTATTTCCTGAGCACTTGACAATAATGTTAATAAGAATATGCGGACACTATTTTATAATCATTATCAATATTCACAGCACAGCTCATATGTAACCTTTCTAAATGTTAAAAAAGTAATAGAACAATTTCAAACCTTCAATTTCTAAAAGCTAACTTTTTAATGGCAGAGAGAAATGTTGATCTCTCACCCTTTTCATGAAACTATTGTAGTATACTATTTTAATCAAAATTATTGGTTTCTCATAGAACTCAAATATAAAAGAACATTAAATTCATCAAGCAAAAATGTATTACCTTTGAATTTTTATTATCTAAATATCAACTTTCTCAGCTAAAAAGTCAAATAACGAGTGACTGTAGAGATCAAGCTAGCAATAAATATTCATCAAATTCAAGATACATATTAGAGAAGAGATTGGAGACAATGACATTTGTCATTGGGGGTATGCACTGTATTTAATTAATCTGGGCAAAAGATTGCAGCTTCATACAATAATCTTTCAAGTCTTATACATGATTTATTATTTTAGAATCAACAAAACTTATATGCATATGTTAAGCTGTACAAGAGATAAACTGTCCTGTTTTACATTCTAATCAAGAATGTTACCTACACGTAATTCTTAAATAGTTGGCCAGGGCAAAAATCAAAATCTAATTGTCACTTTATGTTACTGAAAAAAAATCATTAGCATGAATACCCAATTCTAATTAATTCACTTTATATCAAGCCATACATTACTCTACTGTGAAGAGTTCCTCAACTCTTTAGGAACAGGCATAACCCTAATACAACAGCTCAGTGAAAACTGAATAAACACCTAAGACAACAATGGATATAAGCAGTGTCAGCTATATTCAAGATGTGGTATATTTCAAAAGCTGATGAAAAAAACTGTGAAGCAGGAAAAGTTCTTGAAGAATTCCAAGATTTTCCTTCAATTCTATTTCAAGGACATAGTACTTTTCTCTTCAATTGGAGAACAATATAAAAATTCAATTGTACCACGCCATCATAACACAACTCCAAGCTTCCTCTAAATTGTATTTATTTCCAATTTTTACAGTATTTATTTCCACTTTGAAAATGAGAGGTAAGAATCCATCAACCATCAAAAAACACCAGGACTGAGAACATACCAATTTTCCACTGTGTTTGGAGTTCTTTTGTAGTCTCAAATAAGAACCATTTAACAACAAATGACCCATTTGTATTTATGTATGTAAGACAGTATCAATAGGATTGAAGAATTATTACTTGCTGATGCTTATATGAACTAACTAACTAAAGGGCAGTTAAATAAACCACACTATTATAATCTATGCATATTTATGTGTGCGTATATATATGTGTGTGTGTATATATATATATACACATAATGCTTACCCAATAATTAGAAGAACTGAACAAACCAGAAGGAATCCTAGTGTATACTTGACTGCAGTTTTAACCTGCTGTAAAAATAAAATAAGAAACCAATAAAAAATAAGAAACCAATATGAAGTTAGCTGCTAATTATGATTTTTAAAGAATTTCCTTTAATATATAATAGCCAATTTTATACAATGATTATAACATTCCATACCCTATTCAACAGAAAAATATCCAATATTCATTAAGCCTGTTTTATTAACTCTATCAAATGCTCCCAATTTTCATCCTATGTTATCTCTCTCATTTTCACATTCAAATTAAGGCCTCTTTTAAATCTGAATTAAGAATCTAAAATATTTTATAAAGCTACAGACATCTACAATATATTGATGGATGAGAATTCATTAGTCAAGCAAATTTCTGACTACTCTCCATTAAACAGAACACAGACATATTATGAAGTTACTTTTTCCAGAGGACACAGGATATTCTATAATGGATATTTTTGTCAACTAAGTTCTGGAATCATTGCTAGAAAAGTTTTGACATTTTTCCTATAGGAAGAGCTGGCTGCTTTCAGAAAGATAATCAAGGAAGAAGGATCAAAGAACAAATGTTTGAGAAAGGTAAGAACAGAACAGAAGAACAAATTATGTCTACATGGTAGCCAATATTGATATGGTCTCCCATATATTTTCCCTTTTACTGTTAAAGCTTGGATAGGTTCTCTGTTGTAGAAAAAGCATGGTAAGCCCACCATGTCTACATAAAAACTTTTCATGATATGATTCTTCTCATACGACTACCAGATAGCTTTCTATGGTCTGAATTCAGAAATGGTGAGGGCTCAGCAGCCAATACCTAGAATATGGGAAGAAGGTGAGGTTGTATATCATGCTATTGGGGACGAGCCACCTTATTTGGCCCCATCTGTCAGAGAGGTCTATAAGGGAACTAAAGAGAGTAGAAAGAAGAAAGGAGTATGTTGCTCCCCAAGGGGATTGGCCCACCACACTTGCAATAGCAAAAGGGATATGCTGCGGACACTGTTGATCAAGGAATCTATTCTGCCATTGCTCCCCACACTCTGGAATATTGTGTCCTTTGTAGTGAGATCTGCCCCAAAGGACTGCAAAACCTGCCTCTGCCAATTGGCCTGGGTTCTGATGGTGGCATTTCATACTCGAGGTGGTGAGTACATTAAGAGATTACTCCAGCTCTACCACATTGTATATCGGTTCCTTCTTTCCTTGTTCATTTTGATGTTAATGCTTATCATTTTAATGTTTTATATTGTGGTTTTTACCTTCTTGTAAGCCACCAGTCACCTGATGGCAAAATGGGTGGCATATACATTTAATAAATGGTTGGATGGATGGACAAATGGATGGACTCCTGGCCTTTGAAAAGCTAGACAAGTGTTGGCTGTGTATACTAGTTGAAGGCAGAACTTAGAAAAGTATCCATCTCTTTGCATAGGAAGAATGTCAGAATTTTTATAGCCCTATCACTTGATCTGTCCTCTATGGAATGCCCTGACCTTTCTATTGGAAAAATGTTAAGTTTTCACAGTAGATGCCTCAATATTTGCATCTACATGGAAAAGCTATTTTATTTCAAGGTCTGTTAAGCCCCATTCTCCAGTTCAGTCTATGCACAATTTTTATTTTAAAATGTTGTTTCAATCCACTATATCAGCAGGGAAATTCTAGTTCCCTTTCTTGGATACTGTTGCCAGGTTGGAAAGTAACTTTTAATGCCAGGAATTATTCTCATTTATTTTACAATCACACTAATAAAATGCTTTCAAATCTAATTTCTAAAGAACAAAATCAAACCACAATGTAGTGGCAACAGCTTCTGTTTATAAAAAAGGGGGAAAAGAATTTTGATAATTGTGATTGTAGACAAATGTTAAGTAGTTTACTATATTATAGCGAACGCCCCAATTTAACTGATCTTAATTTAATAGATTAAAATCTGCTGGATGTTATCTTTTTTCCAAATTTTAGGCAAAAGCAAAGCATGTTATTTGAAAAATCAGTCTAGAAAATATGATTCATTGTAATTAGTAGGGCAGATTTTCATGTACAAGTGAATTCATTATCCATTTAATGAATATTCAGCCTTAATTAAAACTACTTCCCTTATTAGTTAAGATTAAGGTTTACTGTAAAGTTTGTTTCCAATTCTGCCTTAACAGGCACATTTGCCAAACAGAAAAAAGGAGCAATTATTCTAAGAGGCTATAAGCATCATATAGTAATAAAAGTATGATGTTAATTATAATTATATATAAGTATATGAGCATTTTTAAACATAATGCATTTCACTATGTGATAATGAGGAAACCTGGCCAAAACCCCAACATTTTTTACCAATTTTGATCATTAATGTCACATTTAGAAGCATTTTATTTTCATGTAATTTTCTGAACAGATTTAAGGAGCCTACAGCTGTGGGCACAAGCCAAAAAAATGTGCCTCAGTGCTATAGCATATGCTTTGCATCGAGAAAGAATCAGATAATCCTGACATTACAATTAAAAGGATAAATAAAAGCAAAAGCCCTAATATGATTGATTCTACACCCCCCTTTCCTCCCAAAGAGCTATTGCTTGTCTAAGCAGATTATACCGAACTAAACAGAGCTATATGATGTATCTCCCTGTGCTCCCATAAGGATAATTCAGAGGGGGACGGACCCACAGGTTAAACCCAGCTTTAGTCTGTGTAAGAGAACATTATTTCCTTTCACCATAATAGAATTTTTAATGTTTCAACTACCACTGGAGCAAGGAAATCAAACTCTTCTTATTCACCCTGCATATCCAACCAAGCAATTGACAACAGTATAATCATCTTACCACGTATGTATTGCCATCATCTTCATCTTTTTCTTCATAGTAGAAGTAGACAAATGGGATCCATAAAAATACACAGAATAATATGATGGAGTAAAGGGCTAGAATGAAAGAATGAGACAACAGGGACATTCTGAAACAAAATAATTAACAAAATGAGTACATTTAAATTCATGTTTACTACAATGTAGTAAAGTAGGGGTACCAAGCAAAGTAGAATCCTGTTGAAGAAGGTCTCTCTAGCTTCAATGTACAAACTACTAAAATAATGCACCTTTCTACTATGTCATTAATATATGGAAGCTTTGCAAATTGTCCAAAGAACAAAGACTTCTTCTATAAAGTACAGGAATAGAAACACTTTCATAAGTACAGGTAGTCTTCCATTTACAACCGTAATTGAGTTTGAAATGTTGCTAATTTTAAAGACGAAAGGGCAAATGAGAGGGTCAAAGAATGTTGCTCCTACAAAGACAAGAGGATCCAACTATTTCTCAATGCACAAAAAGGCAAGACAAGAAACAATGGATGGAAACTAACCAATGACAGAAACAACCTAGAACTAAGGAGAAAAATCCTAATGGTTGGAGCAACCAACCAATGGAATAGTTTTGACTTCAGAGGTTGTGGGTGCTCCATCACTGGAGGCTTTCAAAAAGAGAGTGGACAAACATTTACCTGAAATGGTATAAGGACTCCTGCTTGAGCAGGTGGTTGGACTAGAAGACCTCCAAGGCCTCTTTCAACCTTCTATATTCTATACTCAATATAATTTTTAATGGGTTTCATTATTAGCCTGTATTTTTTTAAGGACTTGAATTTACACCTGCTAGTTTTATAGTGTTTTTTATATATGAGTTGTTAGGAAGTCTTGGATTCAGATGGGATGCAAATGTCGTAGTAAATAAATCATTTAACAAAAATATTTGTAGGTGAAAAAAATCTCTGTATTCATGAGTTCAGTTCATGAGTACATCCAGAGATGGAACAAAGCATGTATTCATCTACAATCATTTTGGTTTATCTGTTGAAGATTCTTTAAAATTGATACTTTTTTTCATATAAAGCACACTGTCAACTTGTCTTGATAAAATGAGATTTAATTAATTAGATTCAGCTGCCACTCAAAGATATTATTTAACTGACAGAATATTTTTTATATAATTTTGTTAAGCCTTTGAAGGCTCACAAAGAATACATACAAATCTTGGTTTATATGCAAAGTTGTTTATTACAATTTGTTCAATAAGCTACAATAGATGGATTCACAGTTAAAGGTAAAATCTTAATTATGATTAACAAACTATGATGGTTGAATTTATATAAATAACTAAGCCAAAAATAAACAAGCTACATTGTGGTTTGAATAAGGTGCAAGTCAAGTCTGAATATACAGTATATGGAACTTAGGTAGTGAAATATATTCTTTGTTTTCTCCAACTCCTCAATTAAACGTTCAGAAAAAATAAGCTGTTTAGGAAATCTTCCCACTTGTTTTTAATTAGAATTCACTAAAACAAAATTCTCTCATGCTTACCACAGACTATTCATGGCTTTTATACTAGTGCTCAAATTTAATTCCAACTCCATTACATTTCCCCTGTCAACCTTACTGAATTCTTTATCTGGATTTAGACAAATTATTATGACATTCTATGAAAGGCATCGGCCTTTCTTCTTAATAAAGTGTGTACCAATAAATAAATTGCTGACTATAGTAAAATAGCAACCTAAGCTATAAAACATGGTCTCCCATTCTACAATCACACACTGAATTTTTGGAAGCTCTGCCATCCAAAATCTCCATTAAAGCTAAAAATGGGTGGTCAAAATATTCATTTTAGAATAAGGAGCGGACATTTCTCAGACAGGTTAATGTTGAAAGTGTCTACCACTTTTCCCACATATTCTTTGAACTCCAGCAGAGTTAATAGCCTGATAGGCCATAAAGAATCCTTGCCTTAGGAAAAGGAGAGCCCATTTTCAGAAGGACTTATTTTAAATGAAAATCAAATTGTGCAGTTTGCAAGTTGCTCTATCTCTAGATTTCCCAACTGCAGAAAATAGTTAAAATATTTTTTCTCAAGATTAACAATATCAAAGATTCTTCATCAGCTGGGAAAGAGCCCTTTTTCACTGCTGCCGTCTAGTCTCAGATCAGAAGAAACTCGCACTGTATGTCCAATCAAACACATTCAGCTTTGGAGAAGATGAACAACACATTTTTAAACATACAATATCACAGCTACACTTACAAGTGACTTGCCAACGTTTTCAGATATGTAAAACAAGTCACAGAAAACCATAAACTAAAGTTGAAGCAAATAATATAAAAGCTGACAATATATCAATACAGAGAAAATAGTGAGAGAATCTTCAGAATAATCTAAACATTAAGACTCTTTGGAGATTACAGAAGCACAGGAGGAATGTTCACAGTAATCTAACTGCAGTAAACTGTAACAGAAATTACTTGACGCATTAGATTTTCTTAAAACCATAAAATGAAGCCCCAAGTTAATGCAATCATTAGCTCTGATTAACATTTGGCTGTGCTATTGCCTATTTTGATACCTGTTTATTAAATCATGGTTCAGTTCAACATAGAACAAGTAACGGAGATGTACCTCATTAATCTGATTTGTGTTACTTAGAACAACAAAAGGCAGGAACATTTTGTGTAGAGTTAAATCATTATCACCATCTGGAGGCTGGTTTTTGCAACAACATCAAACCTATACCCTATCAAACTTCCATGGTTTTTATACTGCACTAAATATAATTTTTCCAAAAGAGAAAATATTTATAAATTTTATGAGTGGTTTCAGCTACTTAATATGCATTTCTTCTTTCATAATTTCAAAATTCCAATGTCATTCAGAATCCCAATGATTCATGACAGACAAAGAGCCAGTTTAGTGTAGCTGTGGGAAGTTATCACCCAGCCCTCTCTCAGGAAAATGAAATATCCTAGGAAATACTGAAAAGGCAGAATATTTGTCTGGATATGAAAAGAAAGAAACATGTTTTAAAAGACAGAATAGTTGCCTGTAGCTTCCTGCCCATCCCCACTGTTAATGGGTGATTAAGAAGGTCAAGCTAGTCCCTTTTACATAATAAAGACTTCTCCACTGCAACTCCAGGGGGGATGGGAGTAAAGGCATGATAATATTGGCCCTTTATTCAACTGACCACATGGCATCTGAGAACTCAACTAAACCTGGATTCAAAACACAGCCCAGAGAGTTGCCCCTGCATGGTCCTATGGGAGTCTGACAACCAATCAGAATACATTTCTTACACAGGAACAGGAAACAGAGAGGTGGGACTGAACAGGTTATAAAAAGCCTAGCAAGCCCCTCCCTCAGCCCTTCTCTTCTTCTCCACCAACATTGAAGCATGTGATCACCTTTTCTGTTCAGGACTCAAGCCACGTGGCCCTGTCCAACAATAAACCATCTTTCCAAGCAGCCTCCGTGTCTCCAGTGTCTTTTTCCCCACTTGGAGCCGAATCCAGAAGGACATTTCTTTCATCATAGGAGTGCCAGCACTAAGTTAAAAATCAGGAGAACCTGAGTTCTAGTCAGGCTTAAGACACAAAGCCAACTGGATGACCTTGGGCCAGTCACACTCTCTCAGCCGTAAGAATAAGGCAACGGCAAACTTCCCTATCAAGAAAATTGCAGGAACATGTCCAGGCAGTCCCTAGGAGTCAAGAATGACTAGAAGGCTTACACTTAAATAGATATTACTGTGAAAACAAAGGAGGACATCTACTTTTGAAATAGGTTGTTTCTTATTAAATACAAGATTCCATCATGTCTTCCTTAGTTCTTAATGAAGATTTACCAAGTTCCCATGCAGGAAAGAACTTGTTACACAACTACCTCAGAAACTAGCATACCTAGGCCTTTATACTGTGGCTATTACCAGGCACTTGGCAAACCTTTATCCTCCCTTTCCTGACATGTTTTATTTGTCAAAAACAAAACATGGATTTTCATCAGTAAGACAGGAAATTATTTATCAAGTATAACAGTTTATCAACTGTTTATCAACTTCCTAGTCTGCAGTCTTGGAATTGTGGGATTTCTTGGTAGTATCTTGTCTAAGTACTGGATAAGTCAGACCTTGCTTAGGCTTCTGTAATCACGCTGCTAGCTGAATGTCTTTGGGCCAATGACTGTCAGCCCAACTCACCTCACAGGATTCTTGTGGGGGAAAATAGGAGGAGGAAGTGTGTTGGATATGTTTGCTAGCTTGAGTTATTTGTAAAAATAATTAAGGCAGGAAATAAGTACTCCTGGGTTGAGTCAGATAAAGCAATGAATGGCTGTTGTCCTAACATGTTGACATGGGGGCCTAACATGTTGACAAGGAGGTATTCCATGGTGGAGGTAGTTAGTGGATTAGGAAGAAGATCCCTCCTTCACCCTATTGTATTCATGTTTTAACTTATTTAATCTTTGTTCTTTTAATATTTAATATTGTCATATTTTAAATATTTTGTACTTTTGCTTCTATGATGATATAAGTGGCACAAGAGTCACTTGACACTGAGTGGGCAACATAAATTTAATGAAAAATAAAAAATGCTTTTATGCATTTTTTACTGAACACTTTGTCAAACAGATGTGACTTCCTATATAAATGATTTCATAGGGATGCAGATTTTTTTTAAAAAAAAGTTGAAAGATTAACGAAGTTTGGAATTCTCTAAGAACATATGAAAAAAGGACAGGGAAGGCGAAACAAGTGATTGTTACAGAATCCTAGAACATCATCCTAAGTGTTAAAACTAGCATAAAACTTTTGAAATTGTATAAACCAGATGAAAGAAATAATCATGAGATCAGTTAAGAAATATTATGGACTATGGCACCACAGAAATATTATGTAATAAATCTAACTAGATTCTGGAAATTGCTAACCTTTTCATCCTTACCCTAAATTTATGAAAAAAAATCAGTATAGAGGAATATTTGCAATACTTACTATAATATGCATATAATACAGTGTCTTCAATTTGTCTTGTAACATTGGCATCAGCCCAGTCCTACAAATGTTCACAGAAGAAGAAAACAGTCAGAGTAAGTAAACAGCTATTTTTATGTCGTTAATTTTTTTAAAAAGATCAATCTCTGCAACTGTGAAAACATACAGTCTAATTATACATAATTAATCACCTTTACAAATAATATTGAAGCCCATTTAAAAGTAATATTCAAGAATTCTTCATATAAAGAAATCTATAACATGGTAGTAAAAATTAGCATGTATTGGATGAAAGTGAACGAAGAATCAACAATAATTCTTCAAAAAATATTAAGATGCATTAATTAAGTTGGAAGCAAAGAACATGCTAAAAATGTTTTAATCACCCAGGCTTTTTCCAATAAATATTTATTCTATTTGACTATTTATAGCCACTACTTCCTATAGGTAGATATATTAATACATCTTAATGAAAAATTACAAAATAGGTAGGTGATATATTTTAATGTTGTAGGGCGTTTTCTTTATTTTATTAAATGTAGGTGCTTCCTAGTTCCAAACAACTCTGGGCATTTATAATTAAAAGTAAGAAAAAACTCCTTTAAAACAGAGCAAAAAAAACCAACAATAACTATGCACATCTGGAAACTATACAACATAACAAAAAAATTGATAGAAACTAAACACTCACCCTAGTACCAGGCTCTGGGAGAACTCCAATCTCTTGAACCCTATCCAAAACTAAAGACGAACCCCCCCCCCAGATCTAGGCAGTCAAATACCCCAGTTACTTGTTAAGATAGACTCTGAACCTGTTACTTCTCATCCAGATCTAAAAACCTTCGAGACACTTAGTCATAACTCTTACAGCTTCATCAATTAAAACAAACAGACACACAAAAATAAATAAATAGGGTACAGATGCATAAACTTATAGAATACAAATACTTAAAAAATAATCTAACTTGAATAAAAGATATTTCTGTTATAACTATGAATTTTTAGAATTATGCCTCTATATAAAAAAATCTGCCCCATCCTTATGTTATCGTGATTAATCACTACGGAATCACAGAACGTCTTGGATTTTCTTGTATTTTAGAAAGCCTGCAGATAGCAGGTTCTGACATATAGCTCTAAATCTGAAGTACAGATCACATTTGGAAAAAAGTTCAAATGTTACTTTCATTTATACTGACAATGTTAAATAGTCCAGATTCTGAGAATGATACTTTCTGTTGCAGCAAATAGAGGTCCCAAGTGACTTGAATACATCCACAAGGCTCTGTGAAATATTCAGGAAAACTGACAGCCTTTTCACTTCTGTGGGAATTAAAAACCTAGATGAGAATTTCCTGCAATACAGTATCATTCTGAAGGAAATTCTGTACTGCCCTTATTAACCAGTGCAAATCACATCAACTTGATGAACAAAAGCAAGAATTTGCATTGCAGGCTACAGGCAGCAGCATCTCAATACTTTTTAGGAAAAGAGCTCGCTTGTTATCTCTAGGTAACATTTCTCTCCCTAAAGTAGATGTCTTAATATTTTTTTTAAAAGTCTTTTAAAAAACTTTCAATAAATCTTACCAAAGCATCGAAAGTTATAATGCCCTAAAAGGGAATTGTTATTGATTTAAAGGATTAATAAAGAAAAATCAATATATTATACATTTGTGATTTTAAAAATATTTTAATGGCCCGCTTAAGCCTAACGATTTTCTTTTGTAATATAGTTCATCGCTATGTATTTTATGTGCTTAATATGTTTTTCTGCAAAGATGCCCTTACGTTTCACCAGACCATCAAAGAAATCTATGGTACCAAACGATTGTACCCAGAATTACTGCTATAAAGCACAAAAGTTAAATTGAACATTCTCTGAACGGCAAATTACCTTCTTCCCCACTATCCCACTTTTTCATAGTATACGTGGTAAACATTTATGTTTAGGTTGGAAGAGGATGGCTGAACACAGATTTGTTTTAAAAAGGAAGTCATATGCCCACCATTGATCTAATAGGGTGAGTCATACAAATCTGTATCTTAAGGCTAAACCCCAACTTCAGTTATAGTGAATCGCACAATATCAATATTGATATTAGAGCTTCATAGAAAGATGGCACACAAAATCTACTATGGGAATGATGTGACTTTAGAACAACATAAAAAAGTCATTCAACTGGAGCAAAAAAAAAATAGAATTAAAGATCTGAAAGAGAAAAGCTGTAAAGAAAATAGTAAAATAGACTGAACTTGGGCCAAATACAGTTTTGAGAAATAGCATTCAATCTATTCAGGAAGAGACCTCTGATAATTTGGGAACCGTAGCTTTTGCTTTTGTCACTCAGTCCAAGTAGTTCCAGTAGCAGAGAGGCCTTTTGCTGACATTGCTGATTACCAGCTACAGCCTTTCCAGAACACATAATTTAGACCCAATTATTAACAACCACATAAAATCCTAATTATGCATGAAACTGGCTTTGAAGACCATCTAACATTTTCATTTGGTAGCGATCATGAAGGCTATTTCACTAAAGACTGCTGGCCAATCAAATTCTTCTTCCACACTTTTCCCAAATGTCCTCTGGAGGTGACATGAACGCTCATATGGAGATCTGAGTGTGTTTGAGGACTAACAAGCGAGGGACGTTTTATGCACAAGGAGAGGCACGTTGCGTAATTCTTACTGCAATACACAGCTGCCAGAATTTGAAGCATTTATTTTCATACACCCATTCCTGTATTCCACGGTATCTGTTAAGATATTTAAATTTAGTAATTGAAGCAGTGGGGTTGTACAGTGAGCCAGAACAGGTAAAGCTGATTGGTTGAAGTTGGCTCCTGCATGAGGCAATCTGTGCTGTGATAGGTTGCTATGGATGTGGAGGGGGAGTTTCCCTTTTCCCCCACCTTTTTCTTCTGTGCCCTGTGTGCTCTGATTTACCTGATGATGCTACTGTTTGCCTGACTATCTTGTTCAGTGTATGTAAAATATATTTATTTTATATTAAGAGCCGTGATGGTGCAGTGGTTAGAATGCAGTACTGCAGGCTACTTCTGCTCACTGCCAGCTGCCTGCAATTTGGAAGTTTGAATCTCACCAGGCTCAAGGTTGACTCAGCCTTCCATCCTTCCGAGGTCGGTAAAATGAAGGCCCAGATTGTTGGGGAAAATATGCTGACTCTGTAAACCACTTAGAGAGGCCTGTAAAGCACTATGAAGTGGTATATAAGTCTAAATGCTATTGCTATTTATATAAAACTACAAGTCAGTGTGTGATTTCATTTGGACACCTGTTGCATAATTCCCAAACAGTATCTGTGCCTAGTCCCCAAATGAAAGAGTAGCAAGAGAGAAATAATTAAAACCACCTGTTGTTCTTGAAAGGGGAGATGCTCCACCCTACTCCAGAATCTAACTGGAGCCGTTCAGCAAATCCCTTTCCTCAGAAGATTTTAATCGCAGAATCCATTTTTCTCCTCACAGTAGGGCTTGAAAGTTTCTGAACACTTATATTTTTCAATGTTACATAAATGTGACCTAAAATTGATGTGTTCTCCACACCAGTCCTAAAATGTGATACAAGGAATCCAATTAAACAAATGAGTAAAAACATATTTGTTCATATTTATCTGTAAAACAACTATAAGATGCTGAGAACTGCATTTAAAAATCAGCATTCAGTAATCAATGAACTGCCTGAGCAAGTAGAGGAGTCCATCAGAGAGAGAACTGCACAAAATGTAGCATACACACCAACAGGGGTAAACAACAACTCCTCCAACCTCATTTGACTAAACTTTTTTTCCTGCCAACTTAATTTTACTGGTTCCTGTTCCTTAGGGTTTTCTAGGTCAAAATCTTCATAACCAGTTAGTCTAGTATATTGTTTTTCAGCTAATTATTTATCCAGCTCCCAGCCCAAATGCACAAGAATAAAAAAAAAATCCAACTTCCTTTCCCCTTGAAACCCTTTCCTCTCATTGGGAGGGCAGTACTGTATTGCATTTTGAAAACGTAAAGCTTTAATAAACTAATGGAGGGAAATGGTGATGGTTAAACTAGAATATTCATTATATCTGAATAGGCATGCCTATTTTACATAGCCTTAATCACCTGAACAGGATGTTATGCATATGCAGAAGCATGCATAACATGTATAATTTGTGGCATCTGAAGCCCAGTAATTTGAGATCTGTTAAATCAAAGATTTACTGTTCTTAAAGTTCCCTGGCTAGCCATTAGGCCACTCACAATTTAGAATCCTCAGTTATAGCTATTCACCCAGGTACTCAGGTTTAAGACTTCCCATTAATCTACTGAAGTGTGTATCAGCTATTGAAATATTGTTTGTCCCTTTATACCTGAACATGAAATAGATGAAAAGATAAGAGCACACCTTGTAGATAGATGAAGGTTAATAATGGCAATAGATATGATATATAGAATAAGGAATTAGAAATCTTGTGAAATTAATGGGTCCAAATTTTAAGTATCTTTAACTCCTTGGGGATGAAGTTAATACATCATAAAAACTTGTTCAATAATTATTATATTTTCCAAAACATGTTTATAATTTCGATATTACAATCTTAATGGCAGGAATAAAACAAAAAGAGGGAACCATCATGTTTGAAAATATTTTTCTAGGAAACTAAGTTATATCCAACATTATGCATCTGGTGTTAGAAAATGTCTATTCTGATTAGTCTTCTTTTAATATAAACTGTAACAAATTAATTTATATCTCTCAAATGAATGAAGTGGAATTGTGTTAGGATGAAACCAGGCTTTGTAAGTGTTCATTCAGTAGACTTACGTATTTCACTCATCCAGCTTTGATCCTGCCTTTTAACTTTAGGCAAACATTCAGATCAAAGGCTTTAACAAAAACCAGACTTAAAATAGAACAAATGTTTTAGTTTTTTAAAAAAAAACACACAGCAATCTAATTATTACAATATAAACATGTCAATATCATTCATAATTAAATCAGTTACTGCATTTGCTTTCTAGTGTTTAAAACAATTCTAATACTTTTTACTTTTCCAAACAAAACAGAAATAACAAGGGAACAGGATTTGTTATAAAAAATTATAGAAAGTGAATAAATACCTTAAAAGTTCCATTCTGGTTCTTCACATAAGAAACCAGAAAAATGTCCACAGGAAGGAGAGCTGATGTAATAAGTGCAATTGCCAAAGCAAAAATAGATGTTATGGTGGAAATTACTTCACTTTCTCGCTTACTCTGGTACTTGCGGACATAAACCCAGCAAAACACCAAAATGACCTAAAAAAATAAGACAATTAATTAAAATAATAATACTTTCAGCATTAATTTTATTCTTTATATACATACTGAAATAACTCTGCTATCTTTCAAAATATGCTTATTTGGAGAAATTTATTCTCTTATTTGTTTTGACTATACATGTTAGAAAAATCACATAAATATTATTAAAGTACAGTTTCAACCTATCAATTGCCACATCTCTGAAGCAGACCATATCCTCGGTCTCTCATGTCCTTGACTTCTGTTTAGTCAATTATCATTAGTGTAACATAATCCTTTGATTGTTTTACATATACCATCATATTTCCTTATCTAAAACGTTGATATACGTCTGATATAACAATATGATAGAGCATCTACTCTTGTAGTACAAAGGAATTATTGACTGTTCTCAAAAAGTTAAGGCCTGAATAGTATTTGAAGGGAAAACTCCCAAAAGCCCAGATTAGACGAGGAAAATTAAAACAAACTAAAAAAGGAAGGCAGCAATGGTCAATTCTGTAATTTTGTTACAAAAAGTGCACAGGTGTGCAAATGAAGCAAGCAGGAGACAAATTCCAATTGAAGTAAATGTTACCCTTTTCAGTTAACTATGGATAAGAATGTAATCAAATACAAAGAATATAACAAGTTCAATGTTATTAATTAGCACATCAGAGGAAGCTTTCACTAAACTGTTTGCTGCAGCATATTAGTTTACTAAATAAACTGTTTCATGCAACATATTAAGAAATTACATAGTTTCTGGTTTTGGCCTAACCCTAATGTATGAAGACCACTAATTATATATAACAAATCATGGTTGTATCCAGGTTTCCCCAGGCATGTCTACTGTCTGACCAGGAAAACTGTCCCAAAATGTCCATGATGGAGGCAATGGAATTACAGGTGTTAAATCAGTAGGAACAGAAGCAGCACTTCCTAGCTGCATTTTCTTTAAATATATATATATATATATATTTAAATATATATATATCCTCACTGTATCTACTACTGACCTGAGATTCAGATGGTTAATCTTTTTTTGTAAAAAAAAAATGCATTAATGCTGGCTTAGTTTATACAGACTTGGGATATTACAGAAACATTATGATTTCATTCCTCAAATACTGGCCTAGTATCTCTGATTTGCAATTTCATGCAGGCTGCGCTGCTTTAGAAGCAGTGGAGGCTTTTGATTTTTTTCAAGACTGCTCCAGGCTTGGTCACTTCTGGAGGGCATAACCAAAATAACCCTCACTGTTTTAATGCTAATGTTTTAATGTTCAGTGCTAGAGAAACAGGATGACTAAGTTTGTGTATTTCATATTACGTTTTTCTAAGTGGGGGGGGTTTCCCACGATTCGGCTTTTTGCGCATGCGCAGCTCATCCCGCTCACCCACGACAGAGGCAGTGAGTCTTCTGACCGCTGCACCGGTTGAACTCCTGCCGCAACATACGCACTTTTTCCAAAGAGCCTGGACCACTACGGCAGCTTCAGTCTCAGCTAAGTTTACCTGAGGACTGTAAGCCTGACTGGGAGAAAAATGCAGCTCGCTCCCAAGAGAGTAAGCCCCGGGCCGGTGCCCAGCATGAACTCAACCGCTTCCCCAGAAACAAGTCAGGGAGGAAAATAAATGGAGAGCCGAAGCCCTGGTTCGTTCCTCCTACCAGTAAAGCAAGGCCGAAGAGACACCATCCCGTCACCAGATCCGCCTCGGCGGTGAAGGCCACCATCTTCACTTCCGGCAACAGCGCGAGCAGCGACGAACGGAAACGTCGCCGAGAGGGGAGGAACGAATTGAAGGGGCGGGGGGGGGTGGGAGTTGAGGCCGTTGCCGTAGGAACCCCCGAGCCACGCTTTCGCCGGAACGCCCCCGAACCGCATTTGGAATGTTTCCATTGGCTGATGTCACAAAGCAGCAGCCAATGAAGGAAAAGCGAGCTCTGCGAGATTCCTAATACGTCAGGTGCGCTAAGGCAGGGGGGTCTCCGACGTTGGAAACTTTAAAGACTTGTGGACTTCAACTCCCAGAGTTCCTCAGCCGACTTCTGCTGGCTGAGGAACTCTGGGAGTTGAAGTCCACAAGTCTTAAAGTTGCCAACGTTGGAGACCCCTGTCGCTAAGGCTTTCGGGTGAGGGAAATGTGCCGTGATTTAATCTCACGGAGAGAGAGAGAGAGAGGTGGCGTCGCAAACGGCTCGTGATTTAAGGCCGGAGTATGTGTTCCCCGACTTACGACCGCAGTGGAGCCTGAAAGGTCTGTGGCCAAGTGAACCATTTGTTAAGGGAGTTTTGCCCCGTTTTTCTAGAGTGAATCAGAACAAAAGCCAAATCACCTGACAGCGCAGCAGTATTAAAAGATGCACCAGCCTGCTACCAGTGTCTTTGCTTCTAAGGGCTGTCTTCTAACACTGCTATCCTCTGTGGGCAAATCTGTTAAAGCCGCCTCATCCTGTTTCCAGAGGCCCTTGTCTGTGCCATTTTGTCTAAGTAAGTATGTAAAATCTTTATTACGGTCAAAGGCCAGCAATACACATTAGTTTTTACACTGTGGGAAGTTATCATCCAGCCCTCTCCCAGAAAAATGAAATATCCTAGGAAATATTGAAAAGGCAGAATATTTCTCTGGATGTGAAAAGAAACATGTTTTAAAAGACAGAATAGCTCCCTGTAGCTTCCTGCCCATCCCCACTTTGTCAATGGGCCATTAAGAAGGCCAAGCTAATCCACTTTACATAATAAAGACTTCTCCACTGCAGCCCCAGAGGGGATGGGAGTAAAGGAATGATAATATTGGCCCTTTACTCAACTGACCACATGGCATCTGAGAACTCAAATAAACCTGGATTCAAAACACAGCCCAGAGAGTTGCCCCTGCATGGGCCCATGGGAATCTGATAACCAATCAGAATACATTTCTTACACAGGAACAGGAAACAGAGAGGTGGGACTGAACAGGTTATAAAAAGCCTAGCAAGCCCTTTCCTCAGCCCTTCTCTTCTCCTCCACCAACATTGAAGCATGTGATCACCTTTTCTGCTCAGGGCTCAAGCCATGTGGTCCTGTCCAACAATAAACCATCTTTCCAAGCAGCCTCCATGTCTCCAGTGTCTTTTTCCCCACTTGGAGCTGAACCCAGAAGGACATTTCTTTCAACAACACTATATTAAAAAAATACTAACATTACAATATAATTTAAAAGTATTGACATTAAAAGTGGATAATAACATAATGGTCCAAAGATTGTTAAAAGTATGTCCAGATAATTGGTACAAGATGGTACTATACCTCTGTTGCCAGTTTTTTTTCTTATGGACATTGCAGCAGCACAGAACTTTGCCACTGCAGACGTGGTAACCGGGTTAGTGTCCTGGAGGAGGAAGCCTAAATAAAAATGGTCTGCCCTCCCTGGCAATCTCTCTAATAAGGGGAGAATATGTGCAGACCTACAAGCTCTGTATAGCTTGCAGTGTAATAGAACATGTGGATTATCTTCCACTTCTCCTTTACCACATATACAGACGTGTTCTGCTATAGGTGTTCTCTTATACCTGCCCTGGAGGAGTGTTGAAGGAAGAATGTTAAATCTGGCTCTGAAGAAAGCTATTCTTTGTTTTGGGGAGATCAGGTCATTTAGATATCTTGCCGATTCCCACACACCCTGCTTGATTCTGTCCCTACTGTGGAGAGGCAACCTACTTAGTTCTTCTTGGAACTCCATGTCCCTCATTCTATTAATTACTACTTGCTTGGCTTGCTCAAAGCCTAGGGACATTAAGAATAATGGTGAGAGCCCATAAGAGCCCAGCTTGTGATCAATTGCCTATTTCCAGGGACATTTTGTCTAAGTTGCTTCTTGGTTCAGCTCTGCCACACTGAGAAGAGACTGAGGTGTCTATCCTGGAAATTGTGTGTTGTCACAGGGTGCTTCAGGACACACTGGGTCGGCAATGGAGCATATGGTGTTGTGTGTCATGGATCTCAAGCCTGATGATTTTATCCCAATCTCACTCTGTTTTGTTCCTACCATACCTGTTCTGACCCCCTCCTCCGTGCCGAGACAAGCTTAACTGGAATTTCACAGCACTTTAATGAACAGGAAACATAAACTTCGGTGGCTGAAAGCCCAAGCAGAAACAAACAGATAAGAACCTTGGCAGCAACTCAGACTTCGACATAGACAGATAACAGCTTCTCCAGCGTTATGAATGAACTTGAATCCTGCAAATCAGACCCCTCCCCAAGTCCCTCCTTAAATACAATCTTGAGAGGAGCCTAATTACAACCAGCTGAGTCCAATTATCTTTTGTAACTGCGTAGCTGTTTTCTCCATCGATCCGCCCAGCGTTGCCTGGCATCCAGGACCACCTCCCTTGTCTCCTCGTCACTACTCCAAGGCCTGACGTCATGACCACACTCCCTTCGGCTCTCACCGCTGCTCCATGCCTCAGGCGTTTCCTGGTGGCCAACCAGCCTCTCTGCGCACTGCTTGGAGTCAGAACCCTGTCCAGGATCCTCCACCTCTTCCAGAGCCGACTCATAAGGCCCCTCGCTGTCGGAGTATGCTTACAGCTCCAACGGCTCCTGCTGGGCCACAACACATACCTATGGCTGAGAACGCTTCTCTGCACTAATAACTTGTTTTCTGGGCAAATTTTTCCTCCCTGTAGTCAGCTATTTTTGTCAATTGCAGAAGCTACTCAGCAATTCAGTGACCCACAAAAGTAGGTTGACTGCCACTCTACAGTATAGTGCTGTTCATCTTCCCACTATTTTGCTTTTTTTTTCTCTCTCTCTCTTGTCTTTCCCCTTGTTCTTAGCTTCATTGTTTGGTCAACCTTTTAAGTGTATAAATTTCTCTGGGAAAGTTCTCTCATGGCCAGTATTGCTTTTTGTTCTCTGCTGAAAACTAGCACCAGAGTTTCCTTTAAAGAATTGATTAATTGTTAATTAGTTTAAAAGCTAATAATACAGAAAATTAATCAACACATTGCAACATATTTTGGGAAGAAAACCCCTGAAGTTGGTGTAGCAAGAGTTAGTACATTCCAAGGACTCTCTGCCTAACTAGCTTGCTCTGACTAATGAAGCTGCTTGGATGAGCAGCAAACATCTCAAATTAACAATAAAAAAATTAGTTCAGTTGCCATGATTAAATTGTTAGACACCTTTTCCTGGGCGATTGAGAGTCTTCATCAACATAACACAGACAAAAATGTGTCTGGAGGCCAGGTGGATCTTTGGGAGAAACAGGAGTATAAGAAGATTCTGCCCTGACCTCAGAAACGGGAAACACTGTCATATATGAGAGAATTGAAGTTGAGTTTGGAAACCAGGGGTTTCACTTGTCTGGAACAAAGAACTGGACCAAGACACGGGTGCTTTAGCTCAGGTAAAAGCTTCTGTGGTACACATGACCACAGCACATTGTGGTGCACAGTGCCCTTGTCTCCTGTTCCTCTATCGCTACATGGACTGAATTCTGCATGGTGCTACCAGTAAGTAGGAGCCGAGGTGGCACGGTGGTTAGGGTGCAGTACTGCAGGCCACTTCAGCTCACTGTTATCTGCAGTTCAGCGGTTCTAATCTCACTGGCTCAAGGTTGACTCAGCCTTCCATCCTTCC